GCTTTACAATTTGCCTCACATTCACCCATTCACTTTACAATTACAAGTAACTAACCCTACACCAAACCCTACTGTAACTGTAACTTTATAGCAAGTACATGTAGTTAATTAATATTACTCAGTATTTATTTGAGTAAGTACAATGTAACTCCTTATGAACCATGTCGATCCATTAGCATTAATATAATAATATAATTGAGCGCTTCCTAAATTTGAAACTTACCAGCCCATCCCATAGGACAGAAGGTCTGGCTCGCAATCTTCGCTCTAATTCATGCCAAAGGTGTTCTATCAGGCCAGGACTCTGTGCAGGCCAGCTAAGTCCCTCCACACCAAACTCGCTCATCCATGTCTTTATGGACCTTGCGTTGTGCACTGGATGGAACAGGAACATGACTCCCCTAACTGTTCCCATAAAGTTGGGAGCATTAATTGTCCAAAATGTCTTGATGTGCAGACGCATTAAGAGTTCCTTTCACTGGAACAAGCCCAACCCATGAAAAACAACCCCACACCATAATCCCCCCTCCACCAAACTTTAAACTTGGCACAACACAGTCAGGCAAGTACCGTTCTCCCGGTAACCGCCAAACCCAGACTCGTCCATCGGATTGCCAGACAGAGAAGCGTGATTCGTCACTCCAGAGAACACGTCTCCACTGCTCTAGAGTCCAGTGACGGTGTGCCTTACACCGCTGCATCCGACGCTTTGCATTGCACTTGGTGATGTAAGGCTTGGATGAAGCTGCTCGGCCATGGAAACCCATTCCATGAAGGTCTACGCACTGTTCTTGAGCTAATCTGAAGGCCACACGAAGTTTGGAGGTCTGTAGATATTGAAAGTTGGCGCCTCAGCATGCACTGACCCCGCTCTGTGATTTTATGTGGCCTACAGTACCACTTCGTGGCTGAGTTGTTGTTTCCAATTGCTTCTACTTTGTTATAATACCAGTAACAGTTGATTGTGGAATATTTAGTAGTGAGGAAATTTCACGAATGAACTTATTGCACAGGTGGCAACCTATCACGGTACCATGCTTGAATTCACTGAGCTCCTGAGAGAGATTCATTCTTTCACAAATGTTTGTAGAAGCGTCTGCATGCCTCGGTGCTTGATTTTATACAACTGTGGCCATGGAAGTGATTGGAAGACATGAATTAAATGTTCTGGAGGGGTTTCCCAATACTTTTGGCAATACAGTATATATAGAGGCCTATCTCTCCATAAGCACAGACTTTATTAAATAGGCTATCCTTGTTTCCTGGTGTACTTAAGTTCCTTTGTTTCGTTTCTTTGCTGTCTCGTCTCGTCTGTGGTTAAGATGTGTTGGACTGCTGTTCTCTGTTTGTGGATATACCAGTGGATTTATTAAAGACTGCCTGTTTCCCTTCATCTTCGTGTTTGTGTGCGTTTACAACACAGCACTGTGACACTCAGTTTAAACTAGTGAAGACAAATGAAATCTTTAGGAATTTTAGGAGAAACATCAGGGGCAAAGTTGATACTTAAATTAAACATGACTGAAACTTACATGTGAATTAGTAACCTCTGAGCAATAACATCATACTCTGTCAAGTTTCTAGGCCAAATAAGATTTGTATGCATAAGTGTACCATACATGAAATAATAAAACATGCATACTTTTTGTATAGTACAAAGGCAGGCATCACTAATACTATTGTTCATAGTACTTTAGTGTTAGTGGTTAAGTTGTAAACTTTGCTCAACTCATGACTTCATTGCCCAGTGAATCATTGCTGGGACTGTGCGGATGATGACCGGAGGATGCTATGCTTCTTGGTGAAGATCCACATCTCTCATCCATCCATACTGGCCAGAGGTCTTCACACGCATTCACATGTATCATGGCATTCACCTGATGGAAAGTAAGCCCTCGTGACTCTTCCCGTCCCATCCTGAGTGCAGTTCCCCTCCAGCATATGAGTCATCGTGCTGGGTGATGTTAAGGTTACTGCTGCCTCAAATACAGATTTCCACAGCAGCTCGAAGTGTTTAAAACATACAGAGGGAAGAAAGTGCTAGAAAGAGTCTGGGGTGAATAAACAAGCCGATGTAGCCGTGACCTTCAGAAACTGCCGGGAGGCACTTGATGACTGAAGATTGTCACTTTGTTGTGACATATTCACCGGCAGACATCAGCAATCTCAGCCTGGCCTGCAATATTTTACTTTCTTTGTCTCTTTCTTTCACACTCTGAGTAAATCCACTGCACGGAATAAAAGGAGTCTTGGCTGAAATCTGTTATTTCAGCCTCTGTGTGTGTGGCCTTGAGTGATGTGCAGGTTCTGGCTCTAAGAGATTTAAATGCTTTTTGCATAATGTATCTTAGAGTATTCCATAAGGGCTTTAAATATTCTGTTTACTAATCAAGTATTTTGCATAAGCCATGACTTTAACAGAGAGACGCATGCATTACTGGCAATGTACAACAACAGTTACATGTGAATTATTAACTAAGATAGCACACATACGAGTCGGATGAAACAGAGAAGCAATTAATTTTGCAGTGCAAATTGGTGTAAACTCTGGAAACCTACATACCGATGACACTCTGGATTCTATGATAAACAGATAATTAAATGTTATCAGAAATGGCTGGTTTATTGTTGGTTGGTTATAGCGGCAGCCTCATTGGATAATAATTTACCCCTTCAGAAAAAAAATCTAATTTTACCATGTAGAAAGTCTAAAATACTAGAAGTCTTTGATCCTTTGAATTAAAAGTGTTAAATGCTCAAAGTTCATTTTTATCACTATCCATTAAAGCCATTCAATGTGTGAGGTTGTCATAATTTAATGTAGCCTGTTTAATTGTAATGGTCAGAGAGAGAGAGAGAGAGAGAGCGAGAGAGAGAGAGAGAGAGAGAGAGAGAGAGAGAGAGAGAGAGAGAGAGAGAGAGAGAGAGAGAGAGAGAGAGAGAGAGAGAGAGAGAGAGAGAGAGAGAGTAAAAAAGTCATCAACTAATTATAACTAAATGATAACACTTTTTTTGCTAAAAATAAATATATAAAATAAGTGTACCACAGAGATTTGAATGTTGCATTTAGTGATGTAGACTGGACCAAAATTCTTGGATTATGACTATTAAAAATATCAAATCCCTATTATTAGACTATTCAGACTTGGTTTTAAAGGACTCTGCTGAATGTTGGCGATGTGAGGGTAACACTTTACTTGAAGGGGTGTGCATAAGACTGACATGACACCTTTATAATCATGACATGAGAATCAGGAGGTTTAATGTATGTTTATGACAACTGTCATTAAGTGTCATTCGCACAATTGTGACATTTATGATGCAAATATGACATTGTTTGAGATGTCTTGGTTATGACACCTTGACATAAACCAATACATCATAACCTGTCAGTGTCTTTGTCATGACAACTTAACATTACTAAGACAACACAACCTGTCATAAATATGTCATAAACATGACATAGCAGATTAATTATCAAACTTTACAAACCACTTAGCTTTAAGGGTTGACATTACATTAAACTGTCATGTGGTTGGTTTTGACATTGGCTGTCATGAGGCCATTATAACATTTCTAATGACAAATTCAATTTGTACCACTGTAGTTGAGGTCAAGAAAAATATTCATGACAGTTATAATGGCCTCATAACAGCCAATGTCAAAACCAACCACATGACAGTTTACAGTTTTTCTCCATTGTTTACACACATTTTCTGAAAGCATGCCTCATACTCTCAGAACTCTACACACAAATCAAGAAACACACACACAATGGGCAAAACCCCTCAATTCTGACGCTCGGCATAAAGCCTATTAAACGAGACGCCGACGATGCTCATCAGTAACTAAAAAAAAACATTGCCAAAGGAAAAGTTAATCACAAACTAAGGAGCCGTTTACACGACGCCGTTTTCAACTAAAAAAGTAAAACTTTTTCTGCATTTGGTCATTTTTTTATACGACTACGAAAACGCAAAATTATGAAACGGGTTTTAAAGTGCATATTTTTGAAAATAATACCGTCATCGTCTCCAAATGAACTACAAAAATGCAAGTTTGTGAAAATGGTGATGTCATATGCGCATGTGTATTACGTGTCTAGTGTTTCTTTACAAAGTGACATTGCCAACTACTTGCTTATCATGAATAATACAGCGTTTTTAGTTGTTTTCGCAAATCCGTGTGAACGTTTTGACAATGTTGTCGTCTGTATGGGGAAACTGAATGGAAACATGAAACACAGACACCTGAACGAGAGGACAAAAAAACCTCAACTTAATCCTGACAGGAAAGAGACAGCATATGAAGAAATGTCTTACAAGTTACCGGAAATGATGGACATTAATAGGAGAAAGTGAGCAAATATTTGATGTTTATTGAGGATACAGGGTAGCAACCTGGAGATGCAATATAAGAATAGGAATAATATATTTGATCATCCTATTACCTTTAAAAAAAATAACATAAATAAACTTGCCACACAGTGGATGCAATAAAACTCAAATAAAAGGCAGGATCTAGTCGCAAGCGGTAACATTGTAATGAAAACAAACTCAGGATAACACTTCTCCGAATACTCACATACAAAAACATGAGAAACAGAACAACCACTTATAGTACGCCGAGATCAGACGCCACACAGAACAAACACAAGGCTATATTTACAAAAGCAAACTAATCAAATAAATGAGAAGCAGGTGTTACAACTCAATGACAAACCCTGGAAACAGACAAGGAAATTCAGTCAAACTAAACTCAACTAAAACAGACAGACCAAACATCCTTATGTTGTATTAGAATTGTCCTAGCAATCTATGCATAATTGTCAATGATGCATGTTATGGGTAGGCAAGTGGAAGCAGTTTTGATATACTGTAATACATTTATTTGTGAAATGGAGTGTGGTTGTGCCTATTTGAAGGGGAAAAAATGTAAAAAAAAATAAGTGCTTTAAAAAAACGATTATAACTTATCTTCTCTCATCTTTTTCCTCCCAGGTGAATGTGTACAAAACAGAGCCAGCCTCCTGAAGCGGTTCACCCAGTCCGGTTCTGTCCTTTCAGGGGATGGCCCGGGTCCAGGATGGGCACACAGAGGAATATGACAGGTGCAGTCATTAATAATCCTCTTATGTCAAATGAGAACAACGAGCAACATAAAAGAGGCATTACCTTATCTCCACACACGCAGCGAGGAAATGACCTCATCTACACAACACTGAATCAAAAAATGGCACAAAGCATTGATGTTTTTATTATTGACCAGCTGTTATGCGAGATACTCTCTGTATAAATGCAATCGCCTGTCCTTGTGCTGGGGTAGTTATGCAAATAGTGGACAATAAAAAGCATGTTTAGCATTTGTGTCACCCTAGAAATGAGATTTACTTCATGGATACTGGAGTCCTCTGTTGTCTTGTTCCTCAGCTCTGTGATGTTAGAGGACAGTCAGGATGGCATGGACAGTGGTAGCCTGACTCCTGGCTCAGCTCGACAGGTCTGCATCCAGCGCCATCCAAGCCACGGCTTTGGTTTCATTGCCGGCAGCGAACGGCCTGTCGTTGTTCGCTCTGTCTCAGCGGGTAAGACACGTCTCTATGGGCCAGATGTCTACTGTCCCCTGGCTCTGCTGTGCCAGCCAATCAGCTTCATCTCTTTTTAAAGGCCTTTGAGTCGTTCCGATTTTAGATGACTTTAATCAAATGGGAATTCAGATACTTGAGGTGTATGATTATGTTTCTATGTGATGCTTTGATTAGATAAGTGTGAAAATCCACTGTAGGTTATTACAACTTGCCTTAGGAAAGAAGTGTGACTAAAATGATTTTGTGATCTATATCAACATATATTTTAGGACAAGAGAAGCAGAAGACGAGAATGTCACGGGTTTTAAAGTGCCCTTATTATGCTATTAACAATTTTAAAGGTTCCTAATTTTGATTAAGGAGTCTCCTACATTAGGTGTGCATTCATCAAAGATAAAAAATAAATAAAAAAACTTACATTTTCTCATAATAAACATTGCACATCATCTAATTTCTCAAACAGTCTCTCTAAACCCCTCCTTACCGACAGCTACTCTGCTCTGATTGGTCAGATGGCCCAGTCTGTTGTGATTGGTCTACTCTGCTCTGATTGGTCAGATGGCCCAGTCTGTTGTGATTGGTCTACTCTGCTCTGATTGGTCAGATGGCCCAGTCTGTTGTGATTGGTCTACTTTGTTCTGATTGGTCAGATGGCCCAGGCTGTTGTGATTGGTCTACTCTGCTCTGATTGGTCAGATGGCCCTGTCTGTTGTGATTAGTCTACCTATTCTGCTCTGATTGGTCAGATGGCCTAGTCTGCTGTGATTGGTCTACTCTGCTCTGATTGGTCAGATGGCCCAATCTGCTGTGATTGGTCTACTCTGCTCTGATTGGTCAGATGGTCCAGTCTGTTGTGATTGGTTTACTCTGCTCTGATTGGTCAGATGGCCCTGTCTGTTGTGATTAGTCTACTCTGCTCTGATTGGTCAGATGGCCAATGGCGCCACCAGGGGGTGGCCAGGGGTGGCCACGGCCACCCCTGGCCGACTCCTGGCCACCCCACTGGCCAGAATAAAATTTAGTAGCATCAGTTATGCATTTCATAAATAAGTCAAAAATATTCTTTAGTAAAAGAAGACTGGGCATTATGTGTCGTGACGTGCTTTTTAAGTGCCAAATGGTTACAGTATTCTGTGACAGAAGCTTTTTGATGTGCCACGTTTTGACAAGCAGGGATACAAACAGCGCGCCTCCCGCTTTTTTTTACGTCAGTTTGGGTGACAAAGTCATCTGAAGTCATTCCATAGCTTAATGTGAGGGACAGAAGTCTATTTACATCATTAAAGTATATGGAAACTCCTTTCCCTTCTCTGCGGCTGTCAATCACTTTTCCATTCATACTCAAACAGCGCGCGCGCCTCTTGGATGCACGGTAAAACTCTCTCCAATATGATATATTCACATTATAATGCATGATCTGTAGATAAAAGGCTGTAGATTTGCATAAAATTACTTTATTTTGTTGGAGTTTGTTGTTGTTTTTAAACGACTCACTACCGTGTGCTTGCTAGATCATCACACACACATCACAGGGACTATGAATCGACATCAAACGCACAATAACTGGAATATAAAACTGAAACAAAGGAACAAATCGCACTAGGATTTGTGCGCTCGACATTTCTTCGCTTTGTGACGTGAACTTATAAATGCGCACTTATGCAGCGCAGCGCTGCACATAGAGTCACCATATTGCTTTGAGCACATCATTCTGCACCCGAGATGCGCATACACGCTGTGTGCACTCTGTTTTTCATGTTATCATGGGTTTGCGCACTGAAATATTATTAAAAGCCAATATATTTTGTTATACCTAGCCTGCTCAATACATTTAAAATAAGCATAATTTAATTGTATATTATTTCTTTGTAGTGTAGGTTATATATGCACTTCTGAATTCTTGACATTAATATATAATTATAAAATTGTGAAATGTATGATTGCCTGATTGAATTTTATAAGAGAACTAATAGTAATTTGTTTTTATTAACATATTTAGATTTTATAAAATTACTGTGCAGATTTTTTCAAGAATTACTTTTTGCTGCTGATTTATACACTCATTAAGTTTATTAAAAATTCATAGTACATTTATGTAATATTTAAAGGTGTTAACTAATCTTACACTGCAAAATAATACCTTAAAAAGGATTAAATTCATCACAATTATGTAAGTATCTGGAAATTTGCAGTGGCTCGAGGGCCCATATATATATATATATATATATATATATATATATATCATTATATATAATATATATAGTAGGGCCCTACTAATATCATTAGTAAGCTAACATTAAATATAACACAATAAACCAAAGTATATCAGTAGGAGTTTCCTTAAGTCTTTCTGATAGTTTTCTACAGGCCGGTTTACTACAACAGTAGAATAAAATTCTGAAATTATTTATAGTTTTGGTGTGCCACCCCAAGATTTTAAGTGGCCCCATCTGGCCACCCCTATGAAAAATTTCTGGAGGCGCCACTGCAGATGGTCTACTCTGCTCTGATTGGTCAGATGGCCTAGTCTGCTGTGATTGGTCTACTCTGCTCTGATTGGTCAGATGGCCCAGTCTGCTGTGATTGGTCTACTCTGCTCTGATTGGTCAGATGGCCCTGTCTGTTGTGATTAGTCTACCTACTTTGCTCTGATTGGTCAGATGGCCTAGTCTGCTGTGATTGGTCTACTCTGCTCTGATTGGTCAGATGGCCTAGTCTGTTGTGATTGGTCTACTCTGCTCTGATTGGTCAGATGGCCCTGTCTGTTGTGATTGGTCTACTCTGCTCTGATTGGTCAGATGGCCCTGTCTGTTGTGATTGGTCTACTCTGCTCTGATTGGTCCGATGGCCCAGTCTGCTGTGATTGGTCTACTCTGCTCTGATTGGTCAGATGGCCCAGTCAAATTTGTTTGATTGTACCATAGGTATGTAACAAGAAGTAAAACTGGAATTGCTGATGACTCATTTCGACAGTTTAGAATCGATTCTTTCTTTTGGGAGACAATAACTTTATTTGTTGTGCACTTTGATCTTTAAAACTTTGCAGACCTTTTACATTCACAAACAGCTAGTATTACACAATAGAAGAGAGGTAATATTCGAAAAAGCACAATAGGGGCACTTTAACAATCAACTCTATCAGGCACTAAGTACAACACAAGTTTCTAACATGTCTCCTTTACAGACGGACCATCAAGTGGCAAGCTTTACCCCGGAGATCAGATCCTAGCCATCAACCAGGAACTCGTGAGTGACGCTCCCCGGGAGAAAGTCATAGACCTTGTAAGGTAACACCCTTTACTGTCACCAGAGGGAAGGGCCTTGTCTGGACGCATGACTGTGCTTAATATATTTCTATTCCATGTGTCTCCATCAGATAAGAGAATTCATTTCAGATAAGACAACACTTTTTACATTCTGCAGCTCACTAGCCAAAATGTCTTTTTCTTCTGCAGGCGGTGCAAGGATTCGATTGTTCTCACTGTGCTGCAACCACAACAGGTAGTTAAGGACATTATGTCTTCTCCAATCGAAATTACATTAAATCAGTCCCTTTTAGTGCCATAGTCAAACTACTATGCCAATTTCAATACAGTCTGTACATTTTTACTGGAATTTAAAACTCAGGTGTAGCTTTGTGTACAAAAACACACCATTTGCTTTGTGCCAAAGTTACATTCTTATATAATTAGTGCATTGAGACTAACGCTCGGTAGTGAAAATGTCATGTGAAATGTCTCTTTTAAGGCCCACATGATTTGTGTCAACATTCCCCAATGCCTTGAACTCAGTGGAGCAAAGTACCAAGCTACAGCATTACCCATGCTGCCACATTGCATGCAGATCGAGCTTTGTAACAGCACTCAAAACTTTGACCTGTTTGCTACTGAGCTTGCAGAGCCGAATCAAATCCTCGCTGTTGACAAGAAAAAACTGATCCTCTGTGTATACAGCTCCAGTAGTACAACCGGTAACGCTTCCTTTTACAGTCCTATTACCCATGTACATTCAAGGTACTTATTATAGTAATTACAATTACTGGGTAATAACTAGGTACTAACCCTGAACCTACCCCTAACCCATGTACTTACCTTATATTAGCCAGTACTTTCTAGGTAAGTACACTGTAAGTACACGTAAGTACTGTACTGTAAAAGGAAGCATTACCGTACAACCATATCATGATATTAAAACCAAATAATCAGCATATACAGTAAACACATTAGATATTCTATGCAAATTAATCAATGATAAAATTGCCCTTGTATGAAGCCATTTCTAATGCTTTTTTGTAGTCAAAGCAACACATGATGTGTTTGTTGCATCGAAGGCCTGAAGTGTGGGCTTTAGCAGTCTGAATTACCAAAATGTATTCAAATATTTCAAATATACATTTCTAAAAATAATTGTATTCATTTTTGTCTTGTTTTCCAGTAAAAATGTCTTAAGTATGCATACAAAATAAATATTTTTTAACTTAAGAAGATATTAAGATTTGTTTGCAGAGAATATATCTTGAATTAGGTTTTTCTTACCCCAATTGCAATTTGTTGCCTTGTTTTAAGCATTACAAAAATTTGTGAGGAAAAACAAACAAACAAACATTTTCCAATGGGGTAAATAAAACAAGATATATTACCAGAAAACAAATCTTACACAATTCTTTTCACGTAAATATATAAAACTATTTTGGTAACACTTTACAATAAGGTTAATTAGTTAACATTAGTTAATGTATTAACCCTAACATGAACTATCCTTGAGCAATCCATTTGTTACTGTATTTGTCAATCTTTGTTAACGTTAATAAAAATACATCTATTCATGTTAGTTCACAGTGCATTATCTAATGTTAACAAGATTTTAATACAGTATTAGTAAATGTTGAAATTAACATTAACAAAGATGATTAAATGCTGTATACGTGCAGTTCATTATTTGTTCATGTTAACTAATGTTAACTAATGAACCTTATTGTAAAGTGTTACCACTATTTTTTATGTTTAAAGCTTTTTATCTAAATAAAACTAGTCTTAACTTCAGTTTTCCTGTCTATTTCTTTCTTTCCTTTGTCTTTCCTTAGTCACCTAAGTCTGCCTTCATAAGTGCAGCCAAGAAAGCTCGTCTGCGAACCAATCCCCCCAAAGTGCGCTTTTCTGAGCAAGTGTCCATCAGCGACCCAGACTCAGTATGTGCTGCTGCCTCTTGCTCACATCACACCCCAGTCACATCTGTGCTAACACAGCTTTCCTTATGTGCTGAAATGAGACCTGGATTGAGTTTGTCGAACGGTCTCGAGGTATTTTGTAACATGACTGTTCATGGTCTGTTTATGATTATATTTGTTACTATTTACAAAGGCAAAGTGAATGTGTCCATCAGTGTCTCCTTTTGAGAGTGACATGGCTGTCATTTCAGAGTTTAAATACTGAAGTGCGATTCACTCCACATCTCCTACTCATCTCATTTCATCAGACTGCAGGTTTATTACCCAGAGGGGCAATGCGGAAATCCCTCTCCTATTGTGCTTCCAAAATCTAGATGTGGTCCTCCATTTCGAAAAGCTAAAATGAGAAATTCAAAACGTTCACTTCTTCTGTGATTTCATCTTCAAGACTATATTAAAGTACATACATGAAAACACAGGGTTTGGAATTGGCTACGCATGGTTTGGTTGGAATGAAAGGGTTCTAGTGTTTCTCTTTTTCATATTCGTAGGGTAGATTTGCAAAGATGTCAGTCGGGCAGATTTTGACAGATGTTCTTTTTTTGAAATGCATCCTAGTTTGTTTGCTGAGATTTCTTTGAATTTACAGTAGACTGACTTGAACACAAATGCAACAGTATTGCAACTATGTAACTATGTTTCTGAATTGATTTGAAGCAATTCATGGCTATTGAAAGGAAATTCTAACAGCAGGTGCTTTGAATAATTGACCTATCGGTAAGCCCCTCCCCTCGAACGCAGATGAGCCAATGGCAGTTGAGTATCATTTGCACGGGGACTGGAACTCGGACATCTTTAGGTTTCAGCGCCATAGAGAAACATTGGAAGATCCGAAGCTCTAATCGGTTTGATGGTGTTTATGCTACAAAAATGGTAAAACTATGGGGCTGGGGTACTTGTAACACTGATTCCAGGTATCCTGAGAGGATGGGTATAGAGAGCCTAAGTCCCTCCCCTTCCGGTCGACCACCATGGGACCTTATTTAGGAAAAATATTGTATGGTAGTCAATGGCGAGAGACAACAAATATTTTGATCTCGTTTGAATTGTGCCCTGAATTACATATATGATGTTTGTCAATTTAAAAGATACATTTTAAAGTCAAGAAAGTCGCAGTTTGATGTAAAACTGTTGAGGTATAAGACTGTGAAAATACGTAATTACAAAGACTACAAACCCAAAAGGCGCCCATTTTCTCTCAATGAATGAAGCTACTTTTACTGAAGCTAACATCTGTAGTTTTTTCTATAGTCTTACGTTATAATCGTAACGTTACGCCGTCATGCCTGAGTGTTTTGTACCAGACTGCACACACACACGAGCAGCGGATCTCGCTCGTTGTTTCGCTTCCCGGGAGATGTAGTTCATTGAGCGATTTTCACATAAAACTAAATGTTACTCTTCTGTTTTATGACAAACTGCGACTTTCTTGACTTTTAGAATTATCTTTTAAATTGACAAACATCATATGTGTAGTTCAGGGCACAGTTCAGACGGAATAAAAAGATGAGTTGTCTCTCGCCATTGACTACCATACATATTTCTTCCGAAATAAGGTCCCATGAGCCGGAAGCGGAGGGGAGGGACTTAGGCTCTCTATTCATGTATTGAATCCCCATACTGCACGCGTTCACCAGCGCGTTTTAAAAGTGTGATTATAAAACGGCTAGTTCAGGTCCTTGATTCTGATTAGTTGAGCCGCGTTCGAAGCCGTTGTAAAATACTCAACAAACATACACCTGTGTGTTAGAAAGTTAGTGAGTCCATGTTAACGTACAAACCTAAATAGCTAACTGTTCTCACATCATGTACAGTGTAGTTCAAAAACACATAAACCAAGGTCTACAATACAGTGCCTCTCTATATTAAACTGATTAAATGTAAATGAATTTAATCTTACCCTGAGGTACATGTACAGGATGTTGTCATCTGCGATCGTGACGACCGTAACATGAGGCTTCTCCCGCTTGCATTGTGATCTGTAAACCCTCGGTTCCAAATTATTCTTGTTATCCACCATATTATTTTAAAATCTTTTATATATCCCTCCATGGCATATTTAAGTCCCGCTTGAATGCTCCTTGAGGTGGTCCTTCTGTATCCAAAATTGATCAAAACACCTTAGGACAAGGTTTTCACTGACTAACAGCTGTCATTGTAAGACAGTTAGCAACTCCGTTTGTTTGTCCGAGGTAGCAACAATAACTAAGGGGGGGGGGGGCTTACCGAGAGGTCAATTCCCTCTGGCTCCGATTGAGATGTTTAGGGTAACAGAGTTACTTTTGAGGAAAGTAGTGTCAGCTTCTTTTTAACACTTCCAGCCTACTAAACTAATTGAATAAGGTTGCATTGCATCTAGAGAAAGACTCAGTCTCCCCATAACCTTTAATGTTGTTACTAGACATTCATTCATTCGTAGCTCTTCATTAGCACTACAGCTGCCATCTCCTCTTGGTGAACATGGGTCGATAGCACCCATGTTAATGTCAATGTCCATGGATTATGTCCCATACAGTTTGATATCTGCCTTGTGAGCAAGGAAGAGTCAACACTACACCCTTGGGTGCTGGTCGCACCAATTTAATAAAGCGGACCGATGGGAGGGGTGTGCAGCTCTCCTGGAAGAAGAAACTTGCTGATCAGGCCTAGAGGGCCAAAATCGGTAAAGAGCAAACCACCCTCACCTGAGCCTCCTCTAATCATGTCAATCCATCTTGTGTGATCAGCAGGGGCCAGCAGGGCTTTCTTCATTAAAACTCGCCTGTCAGCACAGAGTACATCAGCAGTGTAAACGTTTTATTAAGGGGGTTAGGCTTAAACACAAATGCCAACGTGGGACTTATTATTCATATCACATCATCTCACGCCGTAGCTAACGAGCAATTGATTGGAATTGTGCTGAATGTATGAAACAGAGTTAGCCAACCTGCTCACTTCACCGCATGTCATAACATGGTCCCAAATGACATGCCAAATTGATGCTTGCTTATTTGTTTCCATTCTGTATTTGATGTTTAAAGTGTAAATAGCATTTTACACGTTTCCAGAAGCAAGCCTAAAGCCTTTGGGTGAAACACTTGCCAAACGTACTGAATTGATTATATAGAAACTTTGAAGGAGGTCGGATACACCCATGAATGTCAGCAATTGATTACATGAAATCGTTATTGATACTCAGTGGAAGATCAGTGGACAGCTGATAGAAAGTAAACCTTATGTCACGTACTCCCACAGCAACATGGAACGTGGTACAAATCAATATGACGCAGGTGTCGGGATGCTACTCAAATTAATGACCTCTCATTCTTCATATAAAATTGCCTTCAGGGTTCCTCACTCACTTCAAGGTGCACTAAGTCATTTCCCCCCACTTTTTCTAAGTTGTATGCAAATATAATTCAAATGATAGTCACATCAGTGGCATAGAAATCAGAAAATACCATTCACTTGACTTCATTGTTATCTGGCACTTTACATCATAAGATAAATGAATATGGGTGACAGTTATGCATCTAAATAGGATATTACTTAAAATGCCATACAAAAACTTTGCTTTTACAATTGTCTGCATCTTCGGCAACAGGTGTCAAGATAACATCTAAAGTTGTTGTCTTTGGTTGTTCAGAAAGATTTATATTTATTTATGTGGAGTCCGGAAGGTTGTTCCAACACAGAAGGAACGGTGAGACTAGGACGGGTGTGACATGGACCTTTTTGGGTTGATTTAAAAACCGGACCCATTGCTGTGTTCTGTATCACTGGCCAACAGAGCACTGCAGTAGTCCAGTCTTGAGACGACAGGAGTCTGCACAATAGCTGTGCAGCATATTCAGCCATGTAGGGTCTGATTTTTCTACTCTAAAGAGGAAGGGGCCAAGCACTGAACCTTGAGGCTCTCGGTTAGTTGATGTGAATTAGAAACCCTCTCCAGGAAACTTTGAAGGCTCTGCCATGAGGTCAGACTCAGTACAGTGTACTTCTATTAACGCCCAGAGACATTTCAGTTCAGTGACACATGGATCTGGTGACTCAAACAAAGACAGCATACCATTTCAGTTTAATGAGGATCAATGATTTGGAGTCGGTTCTGGCCACCACAAGGTTTTGGGGTTGACAGCATGGCTGTAGGCTTTTGAACCAGGAAAATGAATGAGCCAATTCAACATATACAAAAAAAATGACTTAGTGCACCTTTAACTTTTTATTGGATAGAAAGTAGACACCTTGAAGATTTCCTCTTTTTTTCTACAAATATATGCTGCAACTGAATTCAGTGTTTGAGTCCAATTGATCTGCATTTATAGAACATGGTTTCATATTGGATATGGAATGGATGTGATACAACTTATGCTTAATTCTTAATGAGTCATAATGTGTATGTCTAAAGTAGTTTTGGTCATATTTCCAATTCATTTAAACTATTGCATTTGAGTTAGACAAAGATCTTCCCTTTAACCATTGTTTTAGACTTTAACTCTATGGAAAAAGCAGTGTAAGTCCTCTCATGTGTTTCTACATTCTTTCTTTGACTCTTAGAAGATTTTTTTTATTTTTATTTACCTATTGAGTCTTTTCTTCCCTTAATATCTCATCCAGTGTTCACTGACCGCTTCTTCCTTCTTTCACCCCTCTGTTTTTTTAGACCATGCTTAAAGACGAGTCTCTGCTTCTGATACCAAATGTGTTGAAGGTGTTTCTGGAAAATGGACAGATCAAATCCTTTACATTTGACAGCCGCACCACTGTTAGGGTGAGTGTTATGGGAAAACTGTTCGCTGTTACTAGAAACACAATAGGGGGAATTCACTATGAATTTATTTTCAATTTATTTGTTTATTTAATGCATGTTAATGAACATGCCAGATTGTAGTATTGCTAATATACATCTATAGTCCCTAGGCGGGTAACACAAACAAAGAATATACATTGTTGTGCATGGGATGCATTTGTATGTTTATGTTCATCTTCAATCCCCTGTCATGTTTCACACAAAACAAGACTCCCTAGAACAGATGCTAATGGTAAGTATGGCAACGCAGCATTTTATAACCGAACTGACACCTGCACATTTCAGTTTTAACTTGGTTTAGAAAATTCATTAGCCAACATTATTACATTTCATTCTGAAAGCAAAAGAGGAAAAACATGTCAGCACATTTCATTTGCAGAGCTGATCTTTCATTATGTAGATTTTTTTTTAAAAATGTGAAAAGCAATTTTTCCAGGGGCTATAATCATTTGAAACATGTAAAACCCAACTTTTACAATTACATCAGCATCAAAGGATCTATACATTTTTGAAAGTTCCAGCCAAACAGGAAAAATATATATCACGTACTATCAATATCAAAGTACTGTTATTGATGTCAATAAACAAGATTAAATGGCATAAAACCTAGTGAGTTTTTTGCCTTTCCTACATTTGTGGTTTCACAGCGAGGTTAACATTTCTCACAATCCTTCCTGAGGTGATATCTTCAGCCTTTGGTCAATATCACCAAACCGATTATCTCAATCCTGGTGACAGACAGTACACAACACAGTAATCGGTCTATCTCCCATTGTGAGGGTTACTATCATCAAACATTAAGTATATAATGCATCACTTCACACTGGTCAGTACGCTCCAGACAAGCATGCATTGAAGCACAGCATTTGCTCAAGTCACATGGAAACCTCATCAAATATTTGTAGTCTTTTCAGAAGTAAAGCCACTAGTCAGTAGAAACCCTCAAACATTTGTCTCCAGTGACGGATATACTCAGAGCAGGGTACAGTGATTAAGAGTGCTGGTTTCAATGCTTTATCACTGATGGAAATGTCAAGCCTATCCTCCTGTAGTTTACACACTGCTGATGCCAATGCTTTCCACTACATTTACTTTGCATTGCATATCTGAGATATTGTAATATAGCAGAATTCATGATGCCTTAGGGGCTAAAAACACCAACCATTAGGCTACTCAGATGACAAAATTGTTCTCCTTTTCCCTTTTGCCACAGGATGTGATATCATCGCTGCAGGATCGCCTTTCTCTACGCTACATTGAGCATTTTGCTTTGGTGCTGGAGTCCGGTGGACTGGCCCAGAATCAGAGGCTGCATCTGCTCCAGGAAAACCAGCCACTGGCTCATGTGAGTAAATGCCACCCAAAAACCAATGACTGATGCATTACCTTCAAGCTAAAGTTCAAAGGGTTTAGGAGAAATCCTTAAATGTGTGGTATAAGGTACACTAGCTTCCTATGGCGAGTTGCAACAAACAACGCACGTTAAAAAATACGTCTTCATTTTAATTCATTTGTATTTAATGGTAATTAAATACTAGTGATCCATGTTATCCAGTGATCCATGTTACACAGCATGATTTGAAAATATTCCAAAGAGCATCTTGTGGTCCAACGGAAGCAAGACCGGAAATGAAATTTTCAGTTAAATTAAATGATTCCATTGTTCCTTATTCACTGGTTTTGAATCATGGATTTTATTTTCAGTGTGGTCTCAGACTTATGGATGTTGTCGTACATAAATATACAGTGCAACTGTTTTGTTATTAAGAACTAGGAAAACCTAAATTACGTGACGTTGAATTCAATTTGATATGGCTGCCAGTAGCACATAACCTTACTTGCATAAGGAATGGAATGTGACAATTTAGTACTGGAATGTTTGTTAGTGCTGTATTTTAAAGGTGAATTCTATAATAAATTCTGAATTCTCATTTTCTTCTATATTTTCAGGTAGTTCACAGGACCTATTTCCAAGGAATGAAATGTCTTTTCCGTATTTGCTTCTTCCCAAAGGACCCTGCTGACTTACTGAGGAGAGACCCCGCAGCATTTGAGTACCTCTACATACAGGTGGATTTATTCATTAGTCCTTTAGTCACGAGTCAAACGAATGTTCACATATACGTCTGATATTAGTATAAAGTTTTTTGATCTATTGTTTGTTCTGAATTCCCACAGAGCCGCAATGACGTCATTAAAGAGCGATATGGAATGGATTGGAAGTCCGACGTTACACTTAGGTTGGCAGCCCTTCACATCTACATCACTGTGTCCATTGCGAGACCCAATCAGAAGATTTCTCTAAAGCACGTTGAGTAAGTCTTAAAACATGCATGCATTTTGAATAATGGCAGAATTTTCGTGTGAACAGGACTTTAGCCTTCTTTTTCCAAAGAAACACACATGTGGTAACCATAGGCAGAATATACATTTATACCAAAAATAAGCTGTTATCCACCAGTGGCAGATGACGCTGATAAAACCATCAAAATGTACTATAAGGTCTTGTAGCTGGTTGCATGCTTTAAACCTGCATAATTTTCTTTAGGAAAGAATGGGGTTTGGAACCTTTCCTTCCTTTGACTCTGTTGCCAACCGTCAAGGAGAAAAACGTCTGCAAGACTCTCTCACAGCTGTTGAAGACATATCAGCATCCTCCACCAGCTGGTAACAAGGTATATCTGCTTACTAAGAATATTTGTGTCAAATAAATCTGAAATAGAAGGCTTTCTTCTCAAATGTGTCTTAAGAAACATGTCACAAAGAAACCATGTATGTCATCTAATGCAGAATGTAGTTTTTTTTTGTATTTGTGTGAATTTTATGACCTAAGAGCATATCTGATATGTGTAATATTGGAATAGAGATATGCTGTGTGCAATTAATTTCTACATGCTGATCATTTATAGCCATCGCACACCTTATAGCAGCGAAACATTGCCCTCTGCTGGCTAGAATATCACCCTCTGTGCACTTAGCACAACTAACCAGTTTTATTTTCTCTTCATCCATGCAGGTTTCTTCTATTCAAGGAAAACTACAGTATATGCGTGTCTTGAATGACCTCCCGCCATTTGGAGGCTTCTTGTTTCACACAGTTGGCTTGGTAACCTGAATCCGACATAGCTTCTCAACCAATAATCAAGATTGTCCAAATAATCTTTACATTTTTGCACTGATTTTAAAGATTTACAAAAAAAAAATTATATCGATATATTTAATATAGATTTAAAAAAAAACACAAAAAAACCTGTACTTGTCATTCAATTTCTGATTCTTTTCTTTTTCAATTGAAAGGATGAGAAGCAGTCAGCCACTACATTGTTGGTTGGGCCGAGACACGGTATCAGTCATGTAATTGACCTGAAGAACAACCTAACAACTGTCTTAGCAGAGTTCAGCCGCGTGGCCAAAGTCCAGCTCTTTAGAGAGCATCATGGGGTAGCCCGTGTTGAAGTTGTTATTCTGGAAGCAAAGGTGTGAAAAAAATGCAGAAATGAAAAAAGCTGAATGAATTTACATTATAGTTTTAACCCTATGGTAATTTTGTGTGTGTGTGTGTGTGTGTGTGTGTGAGAGAGAGAGAGAGAGAGAAACAGTATTGCAATATGTAACATTCTAAAATGTAATACTATACTAATATATTTTTCCATACTAATTATTGTAGCCCTTGGTCTTGTTAATGGAGTGGCCAGATGCATCAAACTTTGCCTGTTTGATCTCTGGCTATTACAAGCTATTTGTGGACCCTAAAAGGACAATCTACTGCAGGATACCTGGTCAGCCTTATATGATCAAGGCAGGTATGTTAGAAATGTTATTGTTGCAATTTTATTAAAAAATATATATAAAAAAGTCATTGCATTTCATTTTCTGAAAGTGCATTTGCTTTGCTTTCATCTTTCAAAGACAAGCGGAACTAAAATATGTTGTGTTACATATGCAGCTTTGGACATTTCAAAGCAAAATAGATCTAATAATGGTGAGAACATGTCCATGGAGGCATCTTAATTATATGCTGGTCATTAACTTTTTTCTAATAGTGAGAAAAATCAATCAATAAATCATGACATGAATTAATCAGATTGCTTCCAAAAGGAATTTCTGATTATTGTAAGGATTTATCATGGCAACCATTCATAATTCCAGCTTGACCTCTCCATCATCTTGAGCTCTCCATCTTCATCTTGAGTCAGTTCATGTGAGTGTGACGGAAATTCTGATCTAGATAAATTCATATATCTGAAAGTTCAGTATTTATTGTATTGTATTACAAAACCATGTACTGGATGTTGGCATCTCCTGTGGTCTGCCAAAGAGAAAGATCACAGCATACCATCACATCCCACAAGGCTTTTTTTCCATCTCTGAGAACTCAACAGATTCACGTTTGTCATCTGGACTCATTCACATCCATCATGTTTTCTACTCGTTCAACCACTCAGACAGTTCTGTCCTTTAGATTCCAGAAGCTCCCATGCCCAATTCCGCTCCGGAGCCACTGTGTTAAGTGGGAGTCGTCGCGAAGAGAGAGAGGGGGCGTCCAGAGAGGCAACACAGAAGACGTCAGCATCACCCATATCTCAGCACCTTGGCCTGTGTCACATCCATTTAAAAGAGCAACAACAGATGCAAGAGCTTCAGATACAAGCAGAGCAGGAGCTTGACATTAATGAGAACCTTATCTCACAGGTACAGAGTCGCTCGCGCACAAAGTCTGACCCCACTCTAAAGAGCACTGAATCCGTGCCTGAAGAAGATGGTCCCACTGATGACAGTTCAAGCTTCAGGAACAGAGCGAAAACAATGGAGCCTAAACAGAGGGTTTTCTGTGACTCCTGCAAGGCAAAACTCCAAGCTGAAGGTTTGATTTCGGACACTGGGGAGGCTGGAAGACTCATTTTGCAGCAGTGCAAAAATGCATGTGCTACTCGTGAAGGAGGTGCTGTTGATCTCATTGCCTTACCACTACCTGGGAATGAGGAAGATGAAGAGCTAGATGATGGAGGAGGAAAGTTGCAGCCTCCCCCTCCTGGCATAGCAGCTCCACCCCCAGGGTTTCGTGATAACAGCTCTGATGAAGATGACCCGAAAAAGGGTCGGAAAGGAATCAAAGCCTCTGCTGCTGTGGCAAAGGGTCAAGAGGAAGTTCCTATAACACTGATTGATAATGTGACCACTAGGACAGTTCAAGACCATGCTCAGGAGTTAGATGATGCATTAGTATCCACCCTCCAGGCACTGGAAGCACTAGCTGCATCGGAGGATTACCCACACCATCACCAGCAGACACCACAGACAGCAGGTGGACATATGTACTATTTAAGTGCTGGTTCTTTACCATGTCTATGAGTAAATTAAACTTTTGAAAGTCAAGCAAATTGGAAAATCATAAGTATTCATTTAAAATTAGTGGTTTGTGCTCTTATTTTGATACATTATCTTCAAATGATAGTAGCCTGAAATTATCTTCAAATTATAGTAGCCTAACATATGAAGCTAGACTGTCCCAAAACAAGCATCAATGCAGTGTTAACTACTCCTCAACAACAAAACAACAGAGGAGTTGTACATTAACAACATTTTTAGATTAGTTTAATATTTACTTTTGTTAGAACAACAGTATTTTGTCTCTGTAATTTTGCTTACCTGAAGTGACAAGAGCTTACGTGATTTCTTATGAGCATGGTTGTGTTTTGTTTCTGTTCCCTTACAGGGTTGATTGTGCTTGCTGCCATAACCCCTGAATCATCCCTAGACTCTGGACATGAGACAAATTCATCAGAGCTAACTGATGTGTCTGAGATGGTGTCTGCCATGAAGCAGCATCAGAACCAGGCATATCTATTTGCCCACCACATCAACAAAGAGCGACTTTTCAGTCGACGAGACTTCCCCTTGTCAATCCCTGGCTGTACAACACAAGCAATTGGGGGAGGGGCTTTTTCAATGAGTCAGATCCGTGGCGGGTGTCCACCAAAGCCTGTGATCTTAAGTAAGACTGTGCCCTTGAAAGTTTGTCCCGGTCAAGAAATTAGTCCCTCTGACAACTCTGTGGAGCAGGGGAAGAGCCATGAAGCAAAAAGTGAGAAGGATATAGAAAAATCAGAAAAAGGCCCTGTAAAAGAGTGTTTGGGAGAGTCTGAACAACAGGCAACTGAAGAACTTAAATCATCAGAACTGTGTGCTCCTCAAGTCAACACAGATCAATTGCCTCTTGCTAGTAAAGAAAAAACAAGCTCTATTACCTCAGAAGGTGTCCAGGAAAAAGATTCTGGTACAGTTACCCTAGAAACTACCAGTATAGCCTTACCGGTTCTCTTGCCTGTGGATAGAACTGCATCTGCAAAAATTTGTTCAACAAATATGTGCCAAGATGCCGAGAATGCCTCAAGTGAGACCACTAAGCCTTCAAGTTCAAAGGGCCTTCTGCCAGCTTCTGACTTGTTCTGCACATGTCCAGTACGACCAGAGCCTGGCCCACAGGTGCGTCTAAAAGATCCACAGGCCCCAAAAGTGGTAGTGTTTCACTCGTCTCCCACAGACGATGAGCGTCTCCGTGCCAAAGGACTTCAGTTAGCTATCAACAAAGAGAACACAGAGAAGACATCTGATGCAAGCTTGGTGAAGCCCAGCACCCTGCCTCCTACTAAGTACTCACCAGTTATGCCTGTTAAAGCAGAACAGAAAGAGATGTCAGAGGCAAAGGCAGAGAACTCCCAGAGTAAAGCCCCTGTGGAACCACAGAAAACTCCTAAAAGTGTGCCTGTTCTGGTAGACCCAACACTCTTAGGTTGTGTGGAAAAGGGTGCAACTATCCCAGGAGCCGACTACAAGAAACAGGCAAATAACAAAGCCAAATCCCAGCGTAGTACTCCATTCCTGAGTTTTAGGAACTTAATTTCAGCCACTTTCCCAGCACGTTTGCGCAGAGAGACAGATGAGCGTCGTGCACAGCTTCAAAAAGTCAGGCAGTACGAGCTAGAGTTCCTGGAGGAGCTTCTAAAACCTAAAACATCACAAGGAGAGTTCATTCCACAGGGATCCTCTCCTGTTCCATCATTTACCCCTTGTGCCTGCCAACTGCGCACAAGTCCTGTACAGAAAGTTCCTGGGATCTCAAGAGAACAGCGACGCAGCTGCGACTGTAAGAGAATGTGCCGCGGAATGCGTCTCCCAGATACAGCGGTTGGTTCTGCAACTGATCAGAGAGGAAGAGAGAGGGCAATCTCTAAAACACCCCCAGCAATTCCGAAGTCTCCACATGCTCAAGGAGAATTACGCAAACCTCAAACTTTGGAAATCAAAACCACTCGAATCCGCTCCACAAGCCTTGAGTCTAGGGAACCCAGAGATACACCTACATCATGCTTGCCTACTTGTACCACCCATTCAGAATGCATGAGTGCGCCACAATATAAAAAGCTACAAAGGAGATATAGTATAGGGGAGATTGATAATAATGGCAGCACTCCCCTATATGCTGAGGTTAAAACTACAAAAGCAAAGAGCCTTGAGAAAGAAATGGAAAGAGTGAGGGCCACTGGACTTAGACTTCCAACTCCAGTGGAGCCTGTACATACTAAAGATGGGGATGCAAAGAAAAAAGGGATATTTTTTATTCAGGGAGATGAGCTAATTCAGGAAAGCCGTGAGGGTACTGCTGAGGTTCTAGGGTTGCCAAGTGAGGATACTGAGGACAGAGAAAAATGTTGCTCTTTCTGCTTCTGTTATCGCAAATGTGAAGCTGCTGATGAGAGCAGTGAAAAAGACGAACTGTCTTATTCCATCCCCTTGCAGGTCTTGCCTGGAATGCATGTAGATTCAAGGGCAATGCCAGTAGTCAGCAAAACTCTTCAGGTACTTCATGCAGAGGATTGCAGTGGGGAAGAGGAGGAGGAGGAGGAGGAGGAAGAAGAAGAAGAGGAGCCACAAACACAGAGGATTGATCTGCGGGCCTGCGGGAACCTGGAAACTAGCTTGGCAAGAGTACAATCCTTGCAGGGCAAAATATTCTCGCTACCTGATGGATTCCTAAACGCACAACTTGATGCCAATGAGCTGCTCTCAATTTTAAGGCAGTGTGCCATTAGTCCCCAAATAGAGGGGGAACCTCGTATCCCCCCTGCAAGACTGGCAGAGTACAAGCAAGAACTTGCAGTCCGTTTTAAAGAGTTCAGGGCATCATGTAGACGAGTGGCAAGTGTTGAGAAAAGTCCCTCACGAATGCTAAGTGCCGTCACAGCTAGCTTCCAGGTGCTGTGTAACCTTACTCATACATTCATTCGGCTGGTCAGGAGTGTACGATCTGAAACTCAAAAACTACAGCTTTTACGTAAGGTAGAGGAGGTAGCTGTCAACTACACCCTTCTTCTTCGGGCTGCTGAAGAGGCAATGGGACATTCTAGTAGCCTCCCTAATAAGAGTGCAAGTCCTCAGCTCCACACATCCACTAACATGGGTTCTCTTAATCGCTCCATCAAAAACTTGCCCAGCAAGTAATGACTCATTTACACGGGATTTTGGGGCAGGCCGGAAAGACAGCTGCTCAACACTCTGGCAGGAATCTCTTCGGGTCATTCATTGGTTTACATTTTTACTCGCCTTTCTTTTCACTGCCTGCTAAATTCCATAACCGCATAACTATCTACTGTTATATGTTTATGAAGATTGTGCCAACTTGTACTCACAAAGTATCTTTGACATTATATGTGCACAGAATTAAAAAAAAAAAAATACAACTGATCCTGTGCATTATGGGTGATCAACAGGGCTGTTCACTCTCTTGTCCTTAGAGAAAGGGTACTGTGAAATGGACTTAGTTTTTGTATGTTTAGTTGTTCCTATATCTAAATCACAAAATGACCTTGGGAAGGGCTGGTAGGGATAGGGCCTTAGTTATTTTGTGTCCTAAGAATGGTTTCTATAATATATTATGGGAAAAATTATATTATCACTATTGCAATTGCAATTACTGTAGACATTATAGCTACATAATCTAAAAAAATAAAATCACAGAAAAAGTAATGGTAACAGATTTTGTAAATTAGATAGAGAGAGAAATGGTAATTTGTTAATGTGCTTGCTTTTCAATTTTGTTTGTTGTGACATGAAATACTCCCTTTTCACAATATCATATTCACAATGTCTGGATTTGTATCTCTGCAAGGGTCTGAATTGACACTTTTTTAAATGAATATTTATGAACACAAGAGCCCACTAACAAGATAGAGGAAGGAAACACCTGCCCAGGGTAGACAATGTAGCAAATTCAAATTCACCAGAATATTAATTGAAAGGATACAGTGGTTGATCTAAGACCAAAATGAAAAAGGGCGCTCCTGTTTTCTAATGCACAAAAAATAAATAAATAAATAAATTTTCACTCTCACACCCACATAGTCATCCAGCTCCATACCTCATACATGTAGAGGCAAAACGTATTTTTTTGTATTGGAGGAGTGGGCTGGGTTCTTAATAGCCTCATAATTTTGTGCAATCACTAAGCAAATGCTTGCGTATATAATATTTTTTTTTTCCACATATAGCATATACAAGTACACAGATAACCAATGTTTCACAATATTTTTTTGATTATTGCTTTAATGTTTTTCTTCTCTCCCATAATTTGAAATGTCTTATTGTAGGAAACTTTATTTTTTAATTTTCATGTGATGTCATTCATTGTGCACTCCTGAGAACATAATCCCTCCACCCTCACCCTCACACACCCACACAGAATAGTTTTATATGTATTTTAATAAAACCAACTGCTGTCTTATGTCTGAAAACTTTTCTGTCTCCTCTTCCAATCTAGGACGTGGTCTTATAATCCATATAAGGCTCTACTTTGAAGTTTAAACAATTAACATCTCATTGTTTTGGTGTCTTGCATGTTATCCCTTCTTTAAAATAGAATTTAAACGAAGTGGGCTCTGTCAAACCAGCACCTGAAAGACTGTTTAATGCTAGTTTTAGATTAACTTGTATCATTAAAAGGTCACCAATAGTACAGACAGAATGTTTTACAATATTTCCATATAAAAGTATAATTATTCTATGCTCAACTTAACAAAAAAATATTTGTGAAGCTTAAAATCATTTTTCAGAATAACTAACATTGCATATATTTATCAAAATATTTTTTTTAGAAAAGAGAAATCACAACATGTATCTTATGATTTATAGAAGTATATACCGGAGACAAATTAATAGTATCTATATTTTAGAGTATAATAAAGCACGGAACTTGTTTATTTTTATAAAATACATTACAGTAAATGTCATCATGTTTATACATGTTTTTATTTTTTAAACATATTTTCTGTCAAAGACTAGATGCATTGCCAAAATGAGATTTGTCCCTATGCTTCATTTTTGTTGTATGTGGTCATATTCAGTTCTTTGAGTTCTTGTCAGTGTTTTTGCTTCACTGTGGTCTTTTTGTGTGTAAGGTCATGTTTAAAGCAATAAAGAGTATTAAAAGTAACATATTCAGCATAGTTTTGGCTATGAATCCACTGGTTGAGTTCATAATGTGCTCTCTGAAAAAATATTATTCATATATTGATATTGACTTACACCCTTATCGGTCGGTAACACTACAAAAAGTATACCGCAGCAAAGCACTTATCATTTGTAAACTATTATAGTTAATTCATAGTTTATAAATTGTAGTTTGTACATTGTTATTACATTATGAATAGTAGGCCTGACCCCGACTAAAGATTTTTCTAGTCAACTAGTATTCGTTCGTTTAAGGCATTAGTCAACTAATTGCACGTTTATAATAATTTAATTACTTAAATATATACTGAGGAGAATACTAAACCACAATAAGCGTTTAAAATATAGCCTATTCCGCACTCGAGCGCACACATAAAGCTTTCCGCAAAGCACCGGCAAAAGTAGTGATTATGAATGAGTCGGAAAAAATAGCAAGGAGACATTTGACATTATTTATTAATAAATTAGTTCCCTATCGGTCAGTCACTACTACATAGGTCATAACTGACCAATAGGAATCTTGCTAGAGAGGCCAATCTACTTCGAGTGAAACTAAAACAACTAATGCACATTGGCGTGCAATCATTTGCATCAGCTGTGCAGCCTCGCAGCGCGGGTATTTAACGAGCAGCTGTTGCGATTGCACACTAACTTTTTGCTTCGGAGCCAAGCACTTCGTATGCTGACTACACAGAGTGAAGCTGCAAGCCTCTTCTGGATCTCTACACTTTGGTGCGGGCGTAACAGCACAGCAGCGCGAGCGGTCTTCCTTTTTCTCTCTTTTTTTGTTTTCTGTTTTGCAAAACAAAAAAGCTGTTTTCACAGCTGGCAAGGTGCGCGGTGAGAGCGCTCAACAGCCGTTTTCACGGCTGGTAAGACAAGCGAGAGAGAACAGCGCACAGACAAGTGCACATTCCTGTCTGTGTTCGCGGTGACCGTTCGCCTGCGTGCTTCAGCACCAAGGAGAGCAGTCCCTAAAAGAGCTTACACAGATAGTTTGCGTCTTTTTCAAAAAAAAAAGAAAAAAAAAGGAAAGGATGACGTTCTATCTGTGTGTTTCTGGATGTGGTCGTTACCTGGGGTCACAGGATGGTCACGATCGCTGCCTCTTGTGTCTGAACTTTGAACATGCTGAGGCAGCGTTCGTGTATGAGTCATGTACCCATTGATGGTCGAGACTCTCATTCCTGCAAAGGGGCGGAGTCCCCGTGCCTCTGCCTCGCTCCAATCCTCCTCAGAGGGTTGCTTCGGGCAGTGACACGGGAGACCTGAGGATTACGGTGAGCGCGCTTCCTTCGGGGAACCAACCTCCTAGGAACCCTCACCCCTCTCGCGCTCCGCAGCCAGTTGAGCCACCAAAGGAACGTGCTGGACCATCCTCGAGGTGTGTACCAGTTGTTTCATTTGGTGCTCCCCGCGACAATCAAATGTCGATCGCTGCATCGGAGGGTGGGCCAGACTTCTCCGCGGACGACGGCTCGGAGCCGCTGCCTCCTTCGGGTGTGCCAGCGGTGCCCGAGTCGGACCCAGACATGATGGCCATGCTTTCCCGGGCTGCCAACAGGATCGGGCTCCAGTGGAACCCTCCACCGTGTCCCGAGCCCTCGACGCTGGACGATTGGTATCTCGGGGTGGTGCATGCTGGTTCTCAGCAACCTACCCCAGTACCTTTCTTCCCAGAGGTGCATGAGGAGCTCATGGGGACGTGGACGGCACCTCTTACTGCCAGAAACCGTCTCAGTGGCCACTCCTCTCTCACCACCCTTGATGGCGGGGCAGCTAAGGGATACACGTGTGTCCCGCCAGTCGAGCGGGCCGCTGCAATGCAGCTGTGCCCTAACTCCACTCGGCGCAGAGAACCGTGTCTTCCTTCCCGGGCCTGTAGGTACTCGTCGGACCTATTCGACGAGGCTTACAAGGCCTGTGGGGAAGCTGCCTCTGCCATGCACGCCATGGCGTTGCTGCAGGTTCATCAGGCCAAGGCACTTAAGGACCTGCACGAGGGTGGTCATGATCCACAAGTTCTCCAAGAACTTCGTGACGCAACGGACCTCACGTTTCGTGCAAAGAAGGTCACCGTGCGGTCAGTGGGTCGTGCAATGTCCACCTTGGTGGTCCAGGAACGCCATCTCTGGCTGTGTCTGGCCGACATGAGGGAGACCGACAAGCTCCGGTTCCTTAACTCCCCTGTGTCCCAGACTGGCCTCTTCGGCAACGCGGTCGAGAACTTCGCCCAGCAGTTCTCGGCTGTACAAAAGCAGACAGAGGCTATCAAATACATCCTGCGGCACGCTTTCCCAGTGTTATCCAATAATCTCACTGTATGGGTTTTTACGGAACAACAGTGACAGATACACTCTGTGTAAGCCTCCTCCTATCGTCCTTCCAGGCAAGAAGGTGTAGAGGCTTGCACGGGGCGCTGGATGGGGTGCAGCAGCTGTGGCGCTTTGATAGGGATTCCTATTGGTCAGTCAAGATTCTTTTCGTTTCCAATTGGTTCATTTAAAAGTAGACATTTCAAGCTTTCTATAGATATATTTCCCATGTCTGTGAAGCAAGTAGCCTATACGCTGAGTTTCGGTTCATTTATGTGATGTCCTCCAGTTCCCGGAGACCAAGACGGTAGAAAGCGCATCCTGTTTGGTTCCTTTATTTGACAAAGACACAGCGATTTTCTTGTTGTTGTGAGATTAAGTAGACCCTTTTCGAATGATGTATTACTCTAATCTGTATGATTAGGGTTGGGTATCTGTTGGGTTTTATCCGATACCAGTACCTACTCTGTATTTTTCAAACGGTTCCGGTGCTTAAACAGTTCTTGAAACGGTACTTAAGAAAACGAAACCGCACACACTTTGTCAAAAAATAATACCCTTTATTTACAGGGCCAAACTGGGCACAATATTAACTTAAATCTTTAGACAATATAAATATAAATAACATATGGTAATAATAAATAAACCAATATAAAATAAAAAAAATTACATAATATCAAATAAAACAATATTGTATCAAACAATGTAATAATACTGGAGATTAATAGAGATTACTACCAGGGTAATCTAATATCGACATGGCTACAGGTTCCCATGTTTTGTCTGCTTGAACCAGTCATGTAAGTTATCTGGTCATTGTACTAGTTACGCAGCGCTTAGCTGGGCGAGTTTGGTATTTCGTTCCCACTGCGTCTTAGCTACGCAGCTTTGAGTAAACCTATGAAAGAGAACGTCTCTGGTTACTGGTGTAACCCATGTTCTCTGACTAGGGAACGAGACACTGCGTTCGCTGCCAAACTCCTCGCACTGCCGACAAGCTTCCTTCTTCGGCAGAGAAATCTGAGGAGCAGATGATGCGCGCGCTAATATAATATGACGACGTAAGAGCGTCAAGGCGGCGCCCGTGCCATCAGCCAATGGATTAGCGTGATTCTATATGGGCTTCAGATAATCAGCACACCTAGAGGGCGTTCTGACGCATAATTTTACACGTGAAATGCAGCTTAACCTTGGAGCGTTTTGTCTTCGGCATCTTCATTAATCCCCTCGCTATCAGCAGACGTTCCGGGAGTCTCCCGCATATTGATAACGGCTCCCTGATGCCCCCAAATTAGTAAAAATCTCCCGGAATCTAGAGCGAGCGAGCAAGAGCACGCATGCGAGACCGAACAGACTGTGCTCCAAACTGTATAGTGCGCGCACGCCGGAGAGGGAGAGGGAGAGAGCGAGAGACTTTGCGTGTGTGCGCCTCATGACACAGAGACTCAGGGACCGAAATCAGGCACCGAAATTTTCGTTCTTATTCGGTCTGGTTACTACCGTTTACGCCGGAACCGGTTCCCTATTAGCACCGCGTTTTACATGCGAGCGGCCATGTAAAGTTTCTACTTAAATGTTTCAAATGATAAGCCATATTTGAGGTGGATGAATGATATGCGAACATTTAGTTGTCCTGCCCGACATACACAAAGAACCGCCGTTTACGATCTGTCCCTCACGGACTGTGTGACTTTGCAGCAAGGTTTGTTTTCTTCTTTTGCGACTAATAAAATAACCAACTAATACATTTTACATTTCACAGCCCTAATGAAAAGTGAGTTCGTAATCCGTTGTAAGTAACAAAATATTATTATTTAATTAGTTTATATGTTAAGAGTTAGATGTTTTCTATTCTTTAAAAACTTGTTAACCATACCTAACTTATGTAAAGTATTTTAAACCAGCAGTAGAGTTGTTAATAATGATTAGGAGTAAACAGTTTACTCGACTTTAGATTGTC